CCCCGCCGTCCCCTTTGCGCCTTCGCCTCCGACGGTGCCGCCGCCGCCGCCAGCCCGCTGCCCGCTCCCTCCCTCCCTCCGGCGCGTCCCGCTGCGCTTGGCCCCCCGCCCGCCGCTCTCTGCGGGGCTCTGTCCGTCTGTCCGTCGCTGCGTGTATCTGGGAAGTGCTCGTGCTAGGTAGAGCTCCTAGGCGGGGTGAGCGTAGGGGCCGGGCGGGCGCTCCTCGCGCCTGTGACACTGCTCCGCTGCCCAGACCAGCCCGGCCATGCGCGACTGCGCACCACGTAGCGTGCACCCCACGCCTGCACCATGCACTGTGCATCACATGCCATGCACTGTGCACCATGTACCGTGCACCCCACACCATGCACCATGCACTGTGCACCACGTACCATGCACCACACACCCTGCACCATGCACTGTGCATCACATGCCATGCACTGTGCGCCACGTACCATGCACCCCGCACCATGCAGCCTGCACCATACACTGTGCGCCCCACACCCTGCACCATGCACCGCGCACTGTGCAGCACGTACCGTGCACCCTGCACCATGCAGCACACTTGCACACATGCACTGTGCACCCTGCACCGCGCACCATGCACCACGCTCCATGCACCACACCCGGTGCTGGTTCCCCTTGCACCGCTCCTTGCAGACACAGAGGTGGGGACAGATCGCGGCACCCTGCAGCACCTGGAGGTGATCACACGTTCTCTGAATCCAGACTCTCCTTCCTCGTGGTCATTCTCCTCCTCCTCTGGGCTTTCCTGTCCGCTTCCTCCCCCGCAGTAACGTCCCCTCTCTCTGTCAGACATCTTCTTGCAGCCCTGCCGCAGACGTCCCCTCGCCCCTGGGCGAGCTCCTTAGCTGGGTCTCCGGCGTCAGCAAGTCCTGGAGCAGTGCGAGGGGAGCCCTGGAGGCGGCAGCGCCTCGCCCGCGCTCGACCACGCAGGTAACACCGTCCTTCCTCGAGTCTCTTCCCTTGGAGAGCTGGCGTTGCGCGGGGCCAGCCCCGGGATTCCTGCCGGGATTGTCCACGGGCAGCGGGATGTCCCCGGGGTGGAGGACGGGAGCAAGGCGGGTTGTTGATGGCGCTGCCCCGCAGCTTCACCGCATGCCCCAGCCCTCCTGTCTCATGCCATCTTTGTTTTCTTTTGTTCGCTTTGTTTTAGTGTTGCTGGATGTCCATTCCAAGCCGCC